TCTTGATTCTTGCAGGATCGTCCTTTTTCATCGATCAGACTATGACTGTCTGTACTTGCCAACGGTGTTAAGGCTAGGTCGTTCTTCTCAACTTTCCCACCCTCTCCTTTCGTTTTCTACGCACACGCATTCTAAAATATTAAACATTGTGTTTTTTATAAAAATTTTCTTAAAAAAGTTGATTTTAAAAAATAGTAATTCATTTTAAAGATTTTGGTTAATATTTAATTAATTATGCTTTACGCATTCTAAAATATATAAAAATGATTTTAAAAATATACTAATTCATTTTTAGTTTGTTTTAACTAACACGTAATCAATTATATGCTAAACCACCCCCATACACAGCTCAATGAGCTTTGACCGCTTGCCTCTTGATTAGGGATGATAATAGACCAAGGACTATAGGTTTTCTTAATCTTATTTATACTTCATATTTCCCTCATATATTTTAAGTCAAGAATATATAAACAATTAGTTTACCCTATTTTAGACCAGCTCTTAAATTTTTCAAGCTAAAATTTCGAAGCCATTAAAACCCTTACTCTTGACTATTGGCTAACACTATTGGCATCTGGACAAGTAAATTAACACTACTAGTGGTGCTACAGAAATCCTTATCGTTAACTTGTAATAACCCTCATCTATAACAAATATGATCACCGTTATAGATTAATGCTTACTAATGTGGAAGCTTATCTATATATAACAGGTGAAGACCCAGTACTGATGAGGCTCGTGACAAATAACGTTAAGCTCTATATTGGTCAACAAATTATCAACATTTACAGATAGAGAAAATCAAAAAAAAAAGAAAAGAACACAAAAAAAAGGGTATCCCTCAGTTAATTTATCACCGTCGCCATGCTCGTTTGTCGGTGTCAGCTGCCATAACCCTGCTCGTCATGTTCAAAAAAAAAAGAAAAAATAAAAAAAACACCTGCTCGTCATGCTCCTCGTCGTCCTGCTCGTCACTCCTAGGCAGAGGAAGCGCAAAAGGGATCTTCTTGATGAATTGAATAACTTGTTATTAGCCGCAATTAGCGAAAATTCATCGGGTGACGGGTGCGTACGCCATTCGAGAGTGTAAGCAAAACTATTGTAGTGTTGCTTGTTTGAGAACCTTCTGGTGATCGCACGCCATGAAACTCCAAGCTACAGGTGTTTATAATATTTTCATTATCTCGATTCTCTTGAGCTACGCACGCAGACGGAGCAAGTTACTAACACTGATGGGGACTGTGGAGTAGTTTGATCACTGCTGCACTGTACGCAATACCACGCATATTGCAATCGGCTATTCTCACCACAAAATAAACTCAACCGGTATACTTATGCAGAATACTCCGGATTATTTTTTTCCTTTAAAAAAAGATACGAACATGTAAAAGAATTACATATCAATTATATTAGAAGAAAACATAATTTTTGATATACTAACACAATCAGCCCAACAGATCTATGCCTCGAGACGAGAAGAAAATAGAAAAAAATCTGTTAGGAGAAAAGACTACTACAAAACTCTGCTCCAATAAAACGGGAAGGTCGTTACGGAGCCGGGCTACAATCCCAAAAGACCACATTTACGAAAATTCATATAATGATTGTTTTTAACAGCGGGCTATAAGTCGTATATATGGTTCTCTTCAGTTAAACCTGAATATAGAACCTCCGAAATCAACGTCCGATGTTGTGTCGATCGGATGCCTGGAGTATAATCGCGGTGTTCTATTTTTTGGACCTGTAAGCTGATTACAAAATAATGTTAATAGTACGAAACAATGTTATACTTGTATATGATTGTATATGATTGCTTCTTGATTAAGATATGCATGATCATGCTCCATATTAATATTAGTATGGAGTAAGGGCCCGTTTAGTCCCCCAAAATTTTTTCCCAGAAACAGCACATCGAATCTTTAGACATATGCATGAAGCATTAAATATAGATAAAAAAGAAAAACTAATTGCACAGTTATAGGGGAAATCGCGAGACGAATCTTTTAAGCCTAATTAGTCCGTGATTAACCATAAATGCTATAGTAACCCACATGTGCTAATGACGGCTTAATTAGTCTCAGAAGATTCGTCTCGTGGTTTCCAGACGAGTTCTGAAATTAGTTTTTTCATTCGTGTCCGAAAACTCCTTCCGACATCCGGTCAAACGTTCGATGTGACACCCAAAACTTTTCTTTTCCCCAACTAAACACACACTAATTGCTTCCTCGCCGTCTGTATAGTACTACTCAAATAATCACCGCTACAATCGCTGTCTTGCATCATTGATTTGATTAATTAGCTGATTCCCTGAAGAGAGAGAAGCTAGATATACGTGGTCTTACGTAACACCGATTGCGTCACCCGTGCCGTATACTCCCTCCGTCAAAAAAAAAAAACCTGTTTTCCGTGTCCAACGTATGATCGTCTGTCTTATTTAAAAAAATTATAAAAAATATTAAAAAGACAAGTCACGTATAAAATATTAATCATGTTTTATCATCTAACAACAATGAAAATACGAATTATAAAAAAAAATTATATAAGACAGACAATCAAAGTTGAACATAGAAATCCAGAGTTTGCCTTTTTTTAATTACAGAGGGAGTACATACTACTTCGTACTTTTTTTTAGAGAGAGAAACTACTCTATGTACTGTGTGTACCGTGTACGCTACTGTACTGCGGTTGGGATCTGCCGAGTGATCGATCTGCTCATCTGATCCAGTCCAGTCCTACAGCTCCTTGATTGTTTTCTTTGAAAGGATGTGCACCTTGATTTTTTTTTTCCCCAAAACACTACGGACGACATAGTGACATACTAGCACACTTATCTGCACGAAAACACATTCTCATAACTATGCACGTTCGAGAATTAGACCGGGAATGCTCCATATTTATTTTTCGAACCAACGTATTTGTACTAAACATCCCTATCTTTACGCATATGTGCACATTCGAAAAAATTGCACCAGCATATTTTAAGATTAGCAAAATCACTACGCTGCGTACTTGCGTCTCACTGTCAAAGTTGTTAGTATCCCGATTCGTATTCTAATATCATATGTACGATACTATGATCCTACCAAACCGAAACAATATTGATCCACCTAGTATCTTAATTTTTATAGTAACCCGATCTTACTATTCATTTTCACACGATCATATGAAATCTTAGATAGTATTTTGATACTACGATCCCTACGATCACACTATATGTTATTTAAAATTAAATGAATTGAAAATAATATAAATAAATATGCTCAAGTTTACATAAAAATCAATTAAATTTATCAAAATCAATATTACGCACGAAAAACAAAGGAGAAAATTTTGAAAAAAAAGCTTATAATAGATTTGCGGCTTGGAAGTAACCCTCGTTGATCTGTGTATGTGCGTTAGGCAGGTCAAATAAATGTAGAAAAATGACTTTTCTCCTTAATTTTAATCTCAATACTCATGGTGATTTTTGGCAGCCGGCAGCTAACCATTGATCATAACAATAGCAATAAAAATTCCCTCCGTTCTAAAGTAGTTTTATTTATTTTATTTATCCCAAACATACCAATAAAAACTACTCCCTCCGTCCCAGAATATAAGAAGTTTTAGTGTTGGACATGCTTATTAAGAAAGTAAGTAGAAGTGAGTGGTGGAGGGTTGTGATTGGATGAGTAGTGGAGGTAGGTGGAAAAATGAATGGTGGAGGGTTGTGATTGGTTGTGAAGAGAATGTTAGTGGAGAAGTTGTTATATTTTGGGACAAATCCTGAGAGTTAAAAGTTGTTATATTTTAAAACAGAGGGAGTAATAATTAAAATACTCAACTTTATGAAATTTCGATACAGTTATTCTTTTCTTTGTATACTTCCAATGCATTTATATCCAAATTTCACAAACTTCGATATAATAATTGTTTGAGAAAGAACTTATTTTAGAACAAATCGTAAAAGGGTTAAAAACAAACTTATTTAAGATGAAGGTATTTAGGTGGTGTTTGGATGGAGGGACTAAAGTGGGGCTAAACTTTAGTCCCTCTCACAAAAACATAAGTCCCTAGTTATATTTTTGTGAGAGGGACTAAATTTAGTCTCTAGTTATCAAACACCCCCTTAAGATGGAGCTAGTACTCTGCATGACGGCCATGTGCTAGTTTATCTCTCGCCACGGGAGTTTGTGGGCCATATGCTACGTAGATGTTGGGCCATCTTCGTGGGCTCAGGCTCCACCAGCACGTCCGCTCACGGCGCATGGGATGCACGCGGCGCCGTTTGTTCCCCCACACTCCCGTGGGCCGCATACTACCCAGGACGGTGGCGCGTTGGGCCGTATCGTCCCCAAGCCCATCACGGCTTTTGCCCTACATCGCCTCGATCGCGTTTGGGCCCGCTAGTCCATGCTAGTATACGCGACAGCGACGTGTACGTACGTCTCCAACGCGAATACAACACCTCCACGTGGCGTACTTGCATGTGAGGCAGTCTTCAACGTATGTTTCCCTGTCAAAATTCTACCGATTCCTGCGGTTTCCTGCATCCTTTTTGCCTCTAATTGCGTGTGACCACTAGCTTTTCGCCTATGTTCCCTTCCGTGCCTCCGCGTGACACGAGCTGTTTGAGCAGCAGTGTATATCAACTGAACATCGAATAAATACTACTTCATCCGTTTCATAATATAAGTTATTCTAGCATTTTTCACATTCATATTGATTATATATATATATATATATATATGTGTGTATGTGAAACGGAGGGAGTAATGATTTATTACTACCATATATACTGAATTTTTTTGAGAATTAATATTATTTTTATGGAAAATCGCAAAAGTAGTGGTCAACCGGGGAAAATCGCGAAAATAGGTCCCTGTCGAACGGGTGCAGTTCGATAGGCCGCCTATCGAACGGCCAGAGCGCGACTGGCGACGAGATCGGAAGGCTGCCGTTCGACAGGACCTGTCGAACAGCCCCCGTTCGACAGGCAGGGCTGTCGAACAGCCCCCGTTCGACAGGGTCGCGTTCTCCATTTATTTGTAATAAGTTATTTTTTTTAATAATATGTAATTTATTTTAGTGTGTAAGAAAGGAAAATATTTTTGTAATGTTATATGTATGTGATTTAGGGTTTTGATAATGTTTGGTCAGAAATTGTAGTATTTATTTGTTGGTTAAAATATTTGAATTATTTAGTTTCATTATTTGTATATTTGAATGATAATTTGTCATGATTCATTCGAAGGGTATGCTACTGAGTAATTATCCGAAGAAGTTTATGAAATAGTCCTGATAGTACTAAGTTAATCGTAAAGTGTTTCTCAAATAGTACGGACAGAACATAAATGACTAAAAGTTTAATACAAATAGATAAGTCAAGGACGATCAGTGCCCTTCGCACGCTTGCTAGGTCCTCCCTTCTTCCTACGCCTAATCTGCTCAGTGGGATATGTCAAATTATCAGGGGGGTGCCTATCTCTAGCTGCCTGCTGTGGTGTCACGTCTGGCCCCTGACCGGCCTCCGTCTCCTGCGTCGGCTGTGTGACCTGAGGTGCTGCGTGCCAGTAATCCATCCCTACTTCCCCCTGGGGAGGATCAGTGAAAAAGAAGTCCTCAATGAATGCTGTGCGAGGGGAGTAAGCAGGCACTCCGTGATGCGTCGACGCCGAACCGTACTCATCGTCTGTTTGTACAAGAGGGAGAAACCAAAAAATATGGCGTAGTTAGTAACGATACATATAATTAGAAACTAAAGCGTGTTATTGTTTAAAATGACTTACATGTATGCTGTGTGTGGCCCTGCTCTGGCGCACGCGGAGTGATATGAAGTCCCCATACTGGTGTGTTCAACACGTTGTCCCCCGTTGGCATGTAAGGGAAGTGTGCCGACCCAGAAGCTCCCTGCGAGGGGTGAACATAAGGCGGAGTTTGGAATACCTGCGGACGTGGTGGTGCCGTGCTCGACGTGGGTACCCCTGATCCGGCTGACCCCCTGGTGTACTCCGGTGCTGGGGTGTGCTGAAAGGAAGGACGACCGTGAGATGTGTGGGCCGCTTCGTACCCGCGACGTGAAGAGGATGGACCACTCCGATCCACGCTGGAACGTCGGGGTAGTGGTGGTGATGGCCGTTGTAACGCCCCGATTTTCGTTCGGGAATAAAAATCAATTAATAATACATTTTCTAGAAATTAAATAAAAGTTAAATCAATTTAATCAAGTGAAATAATGGGAGAATTAAAATTTTCCCTTAAAAATCATTGGCCGGGAATATTTTGCAATATTCTTTGTGCCCTAAAATACTCTCCGGAATTTTCCGTGAATTTTCGGAGCTCAAGAAGTAATTTTAATGGCACAAAGTTCATCGAATCAATTAAATAAAAAAAGAAAACAAAATAAAAACTCCCCTTCCTCCTTGGGCCATTTTCGGCCCAAGAATCCTTCCCCTCCCGCGGCCCGCGCCCTCTCTCTCCCTCTCCCGGCCGGCCTCCCTCCCCATCTCTTGGGCCGTCGGCCCGTTTCCTCTCTCCCTCGTGAAGTCTGTTTTACGTCCCCCATCCAGCTCTCCCTCCCTCTCTCCCCGACAGGTGGGACCCGTGGACCCCACCTGTCATCCCCTTCCTCCAGCTCCAACTGCCGCCATGGCCGCCCGAGCCGCCCCACGACGCCGCCGTTTTCCCCCACCTCTCCCCTCCAAAACCGCCACCCACACCCCACGATGCCGCCCACGCCACCGGCGGTTGCCGCCCCGACTCCGCCTCTCCCGGGCTCGATCCCGCCTCCCCTCCCCTATAAAAACAATCCCCGGCCTCCCCTCCTCCATTTCCCCCATTTTCCCCAAGCCGCCGCGCCCTCCCTCGCTCTCCCCGCGCCGAGCCCACGCACCGCCGCTCTCCGGCGAACTCCAGCAGCGCCGCGCCGCCGCTCCCGTCCACCCCGCACTGCGCCGTCGCCCTCCCCAGCACCGCAGCCGCCGTGCGCACCTCGTCCACCGCTCCGTCCTCTCCTTCCACCCCCGCAGCACCATTCCCACCGTGCAAGCCGAAACCACCGCCATTCACCGCCTCCAGCCGCCTGCTACTGCCGCCCTAGGGGTTGCCGCGCCGTTGCCTCCCTCAGCTCCGCAAGGACGAGGAGGACCTCGGCCGCCGCCCCTCTTCGCCGGAAATCCGCCGGAGCTCCTCCTTCCTCGGTCGCCGGTGAGCTCTACCTCTTGTCATCGCCATCGGCCTTCGTTTCCAGTCACCCCGCATCGGTCCTCCTCTCCCGAACTCCCTCTTCTCCTTCGGAAGGTCAAGGGCGACCCCGTCCGCCCTCCGTCCTCGCAAGCCGCCATTGGGCAATCGTCGTCGCCGTCCTCTTCCTCCGCGTCGGCCGCCGCTTCCGGTGAGGATCTCTCCTTCCTTCCTTTTTTTCTCGTCCCCCTTTCTTGCCGACCGCCGCCTCTTGGGGTGCGTCGCCGTCCCCGTGCGCGCCGCTGTCCTCCGGCCGCCCGCCGCCGTTCCACGTCGCCAGCTGCTGCAGCCGGTTGCCGCCTCCCCCTTGCCGCCTTCCCCTTGCCGCCGCCGCGTCATGTCTCGGCCGAGCCGGCTTCATGCCGTGCCCGTGCCCCAGCCGCGCCGCCTCGTGGCCGTCCGATCGGCTTTGGGCCGATCCGGGCCGTCGGTTCCCGTGGACCGGCGGTGGACCGCCTCGGTGGTCCCGGTCCACGGTGGACCGGCGCCCTTGTGCCGCTGACCGGTGGGGCCCGCTTGCCGGCGCCGCCCCTCCCCCTTGATGACGTCAGCGAGGTCCATTTCCTTTGTAAAAATAAATAATAATTGCGCAATAAATCGAGTTTAATTCTAGAAATTCATTAAAATGGCTCAAAACTTCTAAAATTCATATCTAATTCATTCGAACTCCGAATTGAGCCATTCAACTTGCAAAATTCATCTAAAATTGAGCTCTACATGTTTGTTTAGTTTTTATGTACTGTTTCCTTGGTTTTTATTAGAGTTTTTCCTCGTTTTGCGTGCCAGCGTGTAGTTTCCGTCGTTTCGGAAGATCGCGGTCGCGAGGAAAAGAGTTCGGAAAATCCAAGTGAAGAAGCAAGGCAAGTCACACATTCCCCTTGAGCATGTTGATCCCAATTTATAAATGTTTTACCGTTTGCAAATAAACATGCATGTCTTGCTAATTACATGGGAATAGGGTTTACCTATCTGCTCGCTTGTGCCATGTTTACTTGATATCTGTTCTTTGTCAACCTTGGGTAATAAATTGACTAGCTCATGTTACTTATGTGACCTAGCTAGAACTATATGCTTAGCCATGCTTAATTACCACTAGCTCAGTCGATGGGATAATTGCAGTATTAGACATTCTAGTATCTTGTTGAGCCGCGTGCTCGAGACATCTGGCCATGTTTTATGGTCGTAATTATCCAACTAAAATGCGACTGAATGGTGGGCTGTGGGTGCATGGTTTTGTGAGTCGCACCCATGGCAATTAAGGACCGGTTCACGGGAAACCCTGGAAGACTTACAGCGCTTGCCACAAGCGGGAATGGGTAACTGCTTGATCTGAAGTATAGCTCGACCCTTTCCTAGGCACCGGTGGCGAGGGTGGGCGTGATGGAGTTGGGTCGGCTGGGGTGTCCGGTTGTCCAGCTGCCGGATTCACCGCGGCGCAAGAGGGGACCGCCCACTGCCTTTTGAGGGGTGGGGGTGAAACCTTAGCGTGGTGTGGATGGTTAGGGGAGGGTTATGCGAAGGGTCTCGTCACAATCACTCGACATGGTGACGTGTGCATCATGGGCACATGATGACGCGGTGACATGTCGGTGGGTTGTGTCTTGTGGGTACAGTTGTGCACCTCTGGCCAGAGTAAAACTATTCGAATAGCCGTGCCCGCGGTTATGGGCGATCGACCAGATTCACCGTGATTAGTCTCACACTTAATAAATCGACCCAATGCACTGTAGTACAGGTGGGTTGGTTGGGCCTGTTCAACGTGGTGTAGCGTTGATCAGTGGAGATTTTAATGTTACTTTAATTACTCAACAGTTTTACTGTTTTGCTCAATAAAATGTTTTACAACCGCCTTTATGCAAATAGCCACAAACCGTCCTTGTGTTCCCCTTGCACGTCTGCATCGTTGGTGTGGCTTGCTGAGTACGGTGGTTGTACTCAGTCTTGCTATTATTCCCCCTTTTCAGAAGTGTAGTGCTTCTGAGCTGAAGATGGAGTTAGAGGACCAAGGCTCAGACCCCAGTTGAGTTTTGCCTGTGGAGTGGAGCTGAAGCCCCGCTAGGATCGCCTTTTTCCGCTGCTGCTGCTTTTGTTTCGGTGTGAGGACTAAGTGCCTCTTCTGTAAGTATTTTACGCTTTATTTACGTTTGGAACTGTTTATTACTTGTCGTTTTGTGTACCCTGGCTGGTCCTGGACAGGGATTTAATACACAAAATAGTCTGGAAATTTGGGCTAAATTTCTGGGCGCGACAGCCGTCGGCCCGACGTCTGCACCACATCTGCCGCGCTCCGACAGGAGACACGACGTAGTAGTGCGGCAGCACGTGCACGGAAGTTGCGAAGGACACTCGCCACGTCGTCAGACCTGACGACTGGAGGTCTCGCCTCTAGTCTTTGCAGCAGGGTGTCGGACTCCACGTGAACGTGCTCAACAAATTCCGCCTGTTCCACAAATAATCAAGGCAATTAAAATTATTTAACCAGTTGCACATTTATTAAGAGTATTTAACAAGATGCACATTTGTTAGAAATAATGAACCAGTTGCACATCATTTATAAATACTGAACTAGTTCCACATTTATGTAAGAAAAGGAACTAGGTGAACCAATTGCACATTTATTAGACATACTGAACTACTTGCTAACTTTTTAAAAATATTGAACTAGTTGCTCAAATTCCACAAATAAACACGTACCATTGACTTGTAAGCTGATCTAGGCTGAGGGGCAAACGTGTCAGTAATCGCTGCCTGGTGGGGGACGGTGCTATCTCTTTGTGGAGGAAAACACCTCCATCGTGTAACACTGCGGTACCAACGAAGGTAAGCTCCATAATAACTCCCATCGTCTGGAGGTGTCTGAAGTGCCAAGTTATCAGCTGCGTGCTCCCACTCTTGTACCGTCGGCTGAACCGTGGTCACAATAACTAGCTCGTAGGAAAGCCCGAGCCCCTTTCTGAAGTACCTGCACAACAACAAATTCACACATCAGAAAAAATGTTGTGCAGTGATTTATTTTAAAAAATGTAGGATTAAACAACTGTGATGTGAACTAACCTATGAAGACTATCTGCCAAAGGACGACCATCTCTCGGAGGGAAGTCCTGATACATGCCCAACTGTTTGAGAACCCTGTGGACATTGTGTGGCTCGACGTGCACGTCCAGCACGAGGTGACAAGTCGTCCTCCAGAGTTGCATATCTCGCGTGCAAAGATCCGCGAGACCGTGCGGTGCACGATCATTGACATCGTGCTGAGTGTAGGGAGTCCACCGAACACGGTCAGGCGTAAGCTGATCAAAGTCAGCTACAAACTGAGTGTAGACACGACGTGTCGTCCCGCTAACCCACTGCGGCTGTAACAAGTAGTAGTTTTCATTAGTCATATAAGGAAAGTTTGTGAACTAGTATTCATAATGATAACATAAACGAATTTAACAAAAATTACCTCACGGTGTGTCCACAAGGATCCCATAGTGGGACGATCGTCGATGTCATCAACACCAGACCTGTACATCTCTCGCAAACCGTAGTTTGCGTACGAGTCAAGCTGAGGCCTCCCAATGTCGAAGCGCTCGTGCGCCCACAACATAAGTAGCAACGGGCATCCAGGGAGTGAACTTTGCTTGCTGTTCCTCACGCAAGCATCACACAGTCCGGCATATGTCGCCGCAAGTACCGCCGACCCCCAACTGTACTGTGGAATCTCCGCGATAGGTAACTCTGCAATCTGCTCCGCAAAGTGGATGAAGTGCTTGTCCACGGAGTCAGCGTGAGTTCCCGTGAACATCACCCATCCAAACAACCACAACAGGTAAGCGACTAAGTGCCGCTGCACGATCCACTCCTCCTGGTCATCAGGGAAGACATCCTGTCGAAACTGATTCAACCAACTTTTCGTAGGCCCGTGCCCATCTGTGAGATCCTCCAGTGCAACAGGCAGCACACCACCAAAACTGGCCAGAAGGTCATCCGCCCATCCAGCATTCACCATTGTTGGGCCAACTGCTGGCCCAGCTATCGGCAGCCCCAACAAATAAGACACATCCTGCAGAGTGGGCACCATCTCTCCAACTGTGAGGTGGAAAGTGTGGGTCTCAGGCCTCCATCTATCGACAAGAGCACTCATAAGCGCCGCGTCAATGTGGATTCGTTCGGACCTTGCACGTGAAGGCTCGACCAACCGTGCAAACGTCAACAACCCAGCTGCTCTCAGCCTACAACATGACAGAGCGCAAGTTATTAATACATGAAAATATAAACACCTTGTATTAGTAAAAACAATATATTTTCACACACCTTGGAACCCAACGAGGATCAATACGCCAATATTGATCCGGTCCTCGCATCTTTAGCACATTGCAGAAAGTTCCTGTAGTAAGACGTCGCGATCGATGGTTCCTATCGATCTCCTTGTCTATCAGCTGCCCATCATTTTGATCAGCCATACCTACAGATCGAAAACCACATTAGTACATTGCACGTATGGTAACAGTGCAATAAATGTATGCAACATAATTCAATTAACAAATTTGCATGCCATTTCAATTTAAAATTACAGTACCAGCACACATAGATACAGATAAGAATAGTTCAGTACATTTCAATTTAAAATTACAAGCCCACGACACATATATTACGATATTACAAGTGCAGTGCAGTTCGAAATTTAAATTACAATTCCAATACAAATACATGACGATATTAAAAGTGCAGTGCAGTTCAAAATGAAAATTACAAGGCCATTACAAATAGATTCGGGTAATAAAAGTGCAAGAAAGTTCAAATTAAAATTACAGACGCACTAAACATAAATTGAACGATAACGATCTTCAAAGTAGGGAGTCCACCAAGGATAGTAGCGAACTAAGGATTATTTTTCTTCTTCGACTTCCCCTTTGGAACGCGACGAACATCAGCGCCTGTGGCATCATGCCCTACATTGTACATGCTGCAATCTTTACGGGAATGGTTCTCCCCGCAAAGAATGCAAGCTTTCTTACGACGAGAACGATCTTTCACTTTAGCTTCATCCATAAGGTTCTTGATCCTGCGTGACTGGCGACGACCCTTAGTATCAACTAATAAATTTGAGTCAGGAACCCAATTGGCTTGTCCTGGAGGAGGACGAGTGAAATCACACACGGCACGCCAACCACGCAATTCACCACGCCAAGTTGCCTCCCACGATTCCTTTCTAAAGTAGGGAGAAACAAAAATGTTTCCATCAACACCCCCTTTTGCGGAAGCAGCAAGAACATGGGAACATGGCCGATGTAACAGGTAAGGCTTGTTGCAATTGCATTTGCAAGCGTGATACTCTGGCCACAACGTGCATTCCAATGTGATGTCAGTAGTCCCAATGCCGACACCACTCTTGTCACGAAGTCGTATCTCAAATAACAACTCTCTATTCCCAGCAGGCCACACTCTGTGGGTTCCTCCCTTCTTACTTTTCTCATCCATGTACTGTGTAATAGCGGGGCTATACTTAACACTGGGTTTGCTGAGGTTCAGACTAGCCATGGAATACCTTTTACAGAGATACTTCTGTGTACCCCTCGTGATGCCCTCCAGGATAGCAACAAGTGGTAGAGGTCGTGTATTCTTCATAACCCAATTATACACTTCAGCAAGATTTGTTGTCATCACACCATACCTCGATCCATCTGTATCGTACAACAACGACCATTTCTCCCTTGGCTCAAATTCTACCCACTCCGTGAAGCACTTCGTGGCCCTTCCACGCTTCCTGCGCCGAGTAATACTTGGTGCTTCATTAGGAATGGGTTCAAGTCCCTCCGGCTCCTCCTGTCTGGCAACTATGGGTTTTTTCCTAACCTCTTCCATGTGTGTAGTGGTCAAACGATCCAGTTGCTCCCATATGGCATCAAACTTTCTTTGTTGATTCTGCTTGCATAACTTCTTGAACAGGTCCATCAATCTCTTACTCCTGAATTGTCTATAAAAATTAGCCCCAAAATGTCGCATGCACCATCTGCTATGTAAATCTGGCCATGGCACGGACTGTGTGACATCTTCTTGAAGCTTCTGTATCGCTGATAGCAAACCGGCGTGTCGGTCATGCAGAACACACACATTTGGTCTGTTTTCAACAACACACATTTTAATGTGCCGCAAAAACCATAGCCAGCTTGATGTGTTCTCGCTTTCAACAAATGCAAAAGCAACAGGAACGACATGGCTATCCGCGTCGACTCCGATCGCGGTTAGAATTGTTCCTCTGTACTTGCCTGTCATGAAAGTGCCATCAACACAGAGCAAAGGAATGCAATTTTTAAAGGCCTCTATCATGCACCCAAATGACCAGAAAGCCCGACGAAGAACATTCTCCCCATATTCATTCACCTCATCGAGAATAGCCATGTGTGTGCCCGGGTTTCTTGCCTGCATCACCTCCAATAGTGGGGGAAGATTGTGATAAGAATCCTCATAAGTTCCAAACCTCATCTCCAATGCTTTCTGTTTTGCCCTCCAAGCCTTGTCGTACGATATCTCATATCCGTACTCTTTCTCAACGTCATGCATTATGGTAAAAGGGGACAAAGATGTTTTTCTAACCACCTTTGAATATACCATTTGTGCCACAAATGCCGCTGTCAGGTTTCTGTGCACCAGACGGGTATTCTCCAACAAACACGTATGTTGCTCAACCCTCGAAGCTACCCATAAAGTGTCATGTTGTGGCTTGTAACCATGCACTCTCCAAGGACATCCACCCTGTATGCACTTCACGTCATACGTCGTCCTATTTGAAACCTTCACCTTGAACTCACGCTTCTGGACAAATGCCCACCTCTTCACCGCATCTTGTAAGTGACCTTTGTCATGAAACATCTGTCCAACTTTCATCTGCTTACTATCATAACACCAGTGGGCATCTAAACCATCGTTTACCTTCATACGACTCATTGATATGGTCGTCCAATTATCGGGTATGTAAGTTTCGTTGTCCCACAGTGTTGTATCTTCTCCTTCCACTACAAGCGCAATGTATTCCTCGTTTTCCACTTCCATCTGATCCACTACCGCCTCATTCTCCTCCGCTGCATCAACACGCATAGGCGAATCCGGTTCTTCATCGTCCGAGTCGTTGGCCTCACGATTAGTACCACGAACAATGACCTCTCCTTGTGTATTACCCTCTACTACTTCTTCCCCTCGACCTTGCTCAGTCCGCCAAACATTTTTAGCTTGTCCACCTTCCAACGGAGTTTCTTCCACCACGGCATGACTTGACTCCCCCGATCGATCAACACATTTTGTCTTCTGCACCACTATTGCCGGGCTATAGCCTTTCTCCCTTACTTTACTAACAAACTTCCTCCAACTCCCAGTTGACGCAACCTCCACTACTCTCCACTGCCATCCATGTTGACCCCTCACTGGCCACACGGCATTTATGACAAATTTATCGTGTACTGGATCTACCCCAAACATATTATACAACCACCCTAACACGTCGTTCAAACCCATATGCTCCGGTGCATTCAGACTAGTATCATGGAAGGCATATACAGTCAAATCCACCCCGCTATCACATATTTGTATAGGAGCATCGCCATAATACAGACGAATGGGCATATCACCTGACATCCTGATAAAACATGACAAATAGTCTCACGTTTAATCATTTAATCATTCGATAATTACCCTATTACAACTTATACTACATTGCCGTGTACTAATTTACAACTATTAGTAACAAACAACTAGTTTAATAATCCAAATAAAATATAACACCTTTGTACATATTTTAACACACAACATATCAATAATATGTACTAACTAAGAACTAATTTAACCGTACAATTACTTAAATACCTCTACCAACATTTAGCAATAACAAATATGTGCTAACCATACATACTAACATCGAACAATGCGAAACAATTAACAACTCTTAAACCAATTTTTTATTAAACTTTCATATGCATTGTACTTAGGGATTACTAATGTATACCTTAACTTCACTGCTGGAGGGCGTCGCCAACCCTTTCCTCCCGGCCGGCGCCTCCTCGGCCTCCTCTCCGGCCTGCTATCCCCTCCCCTCGCTCCCTCCGGCGCTCACGGCGACGAACTGGCGACTCTCGGCGGCGGCTGGCGATGTGGTCCTCGAAACAAATCGAACTCGCGGACGGGGCTTTTAAACCGGCCTGTCAAACGCCGATTGTTCGACAGGGTCGGTGGAGGGCCCTGTCGAACGCCCCCGGTTCGACAGGCCTCGCGGCGCCGGGTGGTGGGCCCTGTCGAACTCCCTCCGTTCGACAGGTGAGCGCTGTCGAACGCCCCCGGTTCGACAGGCCTCGCGGCGCCGGTGGTGGGCCCTTTCGAACTCCCTCCGTTCGACAGGTGAGTGTGTCGAACGCCAGCCGTTCGACAGGTGTTTGTCGACTGCCCGTTGTTCGATAGGTGTCCTATCGAATTGCACCCGTTCGACAGGGACCTACTTTCGCGATTTTCCCCGGTTGGCCACTACTTTTGCGATTTTCCATAAAAATAATATTAATTCTCAAAAAAATTCCATATATACTCGCTGTAAAGAGAAATATACTACTACTACTTCAGACTCCAGAGTTGGAAAAATCACATCGCGGCTTTGCAAGCAAAAACCGTTATCACGCACCGAATCGAGGGATACTACTAGAAGCGATGGGGATAAGGGTCCATAAGTCTCCTCGGCTTCCACTGCCCAATCGACACGTCGACCACAGGTAGCATTCAAGAGATCGAAACGTCGACCAATACCAGCATAGCGCGTCATATACAACAGGGGTACAGGTCAAAGCGATCTGTCACCTGAATGTACTCCCTCCCTCTTTAAAACTCCTCCTTTCGTCTTCCTCCCGTTCCGGCCTTGTGCAGAGAATCTCAACTGAGATATGTTCAGCATATGTTTGCTCCAACATCACATCAAATACCAAGCCACAATCAAGCAGGAGTACAAGTATGCACTTGAGATCTCTCGATTTAGATTTAGATGGGTAGTGGAGTCTGCCGATCGAAGGGTTTCTGCCTGGTGGTGCTGAATGGGTGGGTGCATATGCGTCTAGCATTTCGCATCCATGGACGACAATACGGGTAAGTAAAATATACAGCGTGGTCTGTTTTTAGGATGGTTTGGTGTCATTGCATGCCTAGCATCATCTCCTTTCTCAACGCAGAGATCCAGCTTATTCCTGGCCTGTTACTTAAGAATGGGGCATCGCTTGGCTATCTTCTGCAGCACCGCCGCTGGAGCGACTTCTGCCAGGCAGCCCTATGAATAGCTCAGTTTCGACATCCATGTTGTCGTTGGTGGTGTTGATGTTACGGTCCGGGTTCTCATCTTCGGCCCGGACAGTCAAAGGAGCAGACAAGGGAGGCTGATTCTTACACTGCACAAAGTTCATGATCAAGGGAAGCAAATCAGGTGAGTTGATCTTTCAGTGTCGCAGAAAATTCTCGGCATTTATATTGGTGTGCACATAAGATATCGCACGAATTAGCTCAAATAATCATATGCTAGGCTGGGCGATCGACTTAAGCTGGCTGCTGGTGTCTTCTCGGCAGTAAAAGTTTCACTCGTCTTACCTTTTCGCGTAACTCTTCATTGTCCTTGCGCAGCTTCATCTCCTGGTCGATGTTAATGCAAAAAAGAGACAAACACGACATTAGGAACAGATGATTGGTCCTGCGTTTCAGGTTATATATATATTTATTTATTTATAGTAAGTACGAAGTTGGTGAGGTACCTTCTCTCTCAGTTTGGCAACCTGCTCCTCAAGCAGCTTTGTCTAGTATGCAGAGAATTGGTTGTAAGTTTGTGCACATCATATATATAGATAAATTAATTGCTGATAACGTAGACTGAAATGGAAAATTTATTAGCCAACCTTCCTTCCCCTGATGCTAATGAGGCTTCTCTCCAGCTTGACCTCCAGGCTATGCAGTTCTTCAATAGAACATTCATCCAACTTTTCACCCAGCAGTTTTCTGCATATCAACAAATTAAACACGATGATAACAGCCTATTTTTTGACAGCTACAAGGACGGCACTTCTGTAATTAAGCTGAAGGGGGTACCTTTTGTAAGTTTCAAGAGCTTCAAGTTTCTTTGCCAAACCATCAGCGTCAGCTTTTACTTGCTACAATTCAGACAACCAAACAATCTATTGAAAATTGTCCAGCTACAATAAAACGACTAGAAGCACATTTTATTTCAGAACACATTTTTTCATTGCTTGTTTAGTGCTCATGTTCTTTATTTATTTCTCAACCAAAACATTCCTACCATAATCTCGAAGACTATGCACATCCTTGGTGAATTGAAAACTGATTCTTAAAAGTCTAGAATACATCTGATTTTCTTTGTCTTAAAAATAGTACTGTCCCTGCTTCAGTGCAGGGATCTTATATATGCTTATTTATACATAACCATAATCTACTGTTTTTTTATTAAAAAAAATACAATCTATCAGATATAGGGCATCTTCAAATAAAATTTGAAAACAGAGTTCCCCAAAATAACTAACTTAATATACATTTCGTTTTACCTCAATATACAACGAAATCTATTGATGGAGCAGCATTGACACTGCCAACGGAAATTATACGCACACATATGACATAAATTATACTAAAATCAGTCTATCAGCAATAACACTATGGTACAAGGATGACCAAGTTTGTCAACAAGAATTATATACCTCTATATCTTGCTGTACTGTCTTGTTGCCGATATTTTCCTTTGTATACGTCCTATAGCGTTCAATTGTTTTCTGCGTACTGAAGTAAAGAGAAAAGCAGCAAGATTATGTCAGAATAGTGTTAGAATTCTGTTTCAATTACAAAAGCACAAAACGTTAGATATATCTCAATTAAATATCCAATTAGCTTCATAAATTGTTAATTAAGAAAAAGAACGCGGTCAAAGGTTGACTTCTTTCTGCAACTAGAGAGGTTTTTCGCCTTTCGATCTTCTGATGCTACATAAGGAGAAAAGATCAATCTTTTAGATCATGAAAAGATCAATCTAACTATACATGTTTGATCTCTGTCATATTGATATCTTAAGCCAGAACACCCCACATATGTATCAAGAAAACTCATGAAGTTGGAAGGGCATTTACACTAGTACTATCAAGAAAACATAGGAGTGTTTGTTGGATTGTTGCATACTTTTCGAGTCACTGTGTGACCTATATCCAATATAAATTGCCGGATGATAAACTACAGACATATATAGATAGGTAGATATTGTTCAAAAGAAAAAAAAATAGATATACTAGCTACAGATAAAGGTAGTCCTCCAACATCTTCCTGACTTAAATGCAGAATAAAATTTAGGGCTTATCTGCTAAAAACACCAGAAGAATTTATAAAAGGTATAACTGTTCCAGAACTTCTAGTAGTTTCATTCTGCGGTCTCAAACTTTGCCCAAGCTTATCATTGAATGGTCTTTATTATCCACAGCCTAATAATCAAATTAATGTGGTAACTGGTACAAATGGAATCGTGCGAATGAAATAATCATATATACAGCTGCTGAACAAAACAATATCACATTGTTGCTCATTTTTTTGATAAACCTAGGAGAACATTTTGATAAAATTTGAGGAAAACCATGAAATAATAACTAAAATTAACAGACATATGATACAAAATTCAAGACAGAAACTTGCGTTTATTTGATTTGAACTAATCATCAGACATTTTCAACAGTTGCCTTTTTAGAACTTGGTAATGGAGTCTTGAAAATGAAAAGGAGTTATGGTTAACTAAGTGTATTTGCTGCTGCTGTTAAAGTCATGTAACCAGTTAAAACTGGGGTGCTTTTCTGTGGCACCGTATTCTTCCCAGGCGATGCCAATATAAAGAGTTATTAAAATAACAAGTCAACTTCGCCATAAGATGTGCTAATTAATACTCCCTCCGGACTAATAATATTAGTTGTTTTGAATAAGGGTAAAATCAAACTTTAAAATCTTTTACTATAAATAAATTATAAAATATTTATCTTAAAAATATGGAAATCATATGTATAGATTAGTCTTAAAAAGTACTTCAATAAAATCATATGTTTGCTGATATTTCTATATATATTATAATAGAAAATAGTTGTCAAAGTTACTTTTTGGAGACCGTGCTCTTGTCCAAAACAATAAGTATTATCAATCCGGAGGGAGTATACTTTATCAACAAAATAAATTGCAGAAAGAAATTCTCCATTCATCTAAAACCTGATGCACGGTAACATAAGATCAATTAGCCACATGCATATGCACTTGTCGGGACCCATTTAAAATAAATAATCTATGAAATCCTTTGGCTGGATGGAAGTAGAATACACCAACACCTAACAACTTCTTTAGTAAGAGTAAAGAAATAAATATAGAGTAAATTATAGTATATCAACTGTGACCCATGATGGCAGCCTCCCGCTACTAAAATTCTTTATGAAGCCAAAGAAGGCTTCTCACAATTCTAGTGTATCGAACTTGCTATTTGTCTAAGTAGCTTCACTTATAAGTTGTTTTCCAAAGGGCTCGTGTGTATTGATGAACGTCTTATGAAAATTTCTTCAGATGGAAATGGTTGATTTTACCAAAAATGATGTGGCTTAAGTATATAAAGAATCTAGAAAACATGGTAAAAACGTCATTTCAGAAAAGCTTTGTAGAGGCAAGTCACTCTTGGAGGTTAGAATCATTGGTAAACATAAATAAGTTGTAGGAATTTTCTCCCATGTATCCATCCTCTATGAGAAGGTCAAGGAAAACGTCCATATTCAACCACTCAACTATGGCCTTGATCTGAATTTTGACCTTCGACTATAAAATTGCTCAGTTTTGTACCTCGTAATAAAGCTATCCCTAAGCCCAAACCAGGTTTTTTTTATGACACGGTGAAGTAATTGGTGGTATGATTTGGATGCCACAAAGCATCTACTCCATCCTTTCCATATTGTAAGCCATTTTAGTTTGTCCAAAATCAAATTTTAACCAGGTTTATAGAAGGATGCACCAACATCCATAATATTTCATGGTGGATTTAATGAATGTGATTTGATGTTATAGAAGTTGTTACATTTTTTATGAATTTGGTCAAAGTTAAAAGAAGTTTAACATAGGACAAAACTAAAATGACTGATAACATAGAATTAAGTAGTAGCTATCAAACTAAAATAAATAAGATACATAAGAGAGAAAGGTGGTGAGCATGACAAGTGGGTCCCAATATTTTCTACATTTCTTTGTTGTTTATTGTTGATTTGTGTGGTGAACAACTCTTTTCACAAGTAGGTAGGGGTGGCATTTTCCCCATTGGAAACAGGGCCTCGGTGGGTCCCCACCCCTACAGGGCCGGGGACAGGGCCAAATCTTCACCCGTGGGTGTTACTGAGTAGGGCCCTGACTTTGAGCGGTGTTAGGGCCGAGGTGACATCTTCACTCGTGGAGCCCTGAAGTTTAAGAAATAGTCACCTCATGTATGTATTTCTAGCCATCAAAAGCCCATAAGGCCAAAAATAGAATATAAAAGGACAAAAAAACAATAATCCACCTGCACAATTCGATGCTCCCATCGGCTGCATGATTTGTGCGATCGCTTCAATGCTCTGCGCATGCAACGAGTCACGCACGTCGCCCATGCGTCGACTTTATCCCGCCCGCCGCTATCACCGGAGTCCCACACCATCTTGTCCACAGGTGCCCCACACCTTCTTCCTCATCTTGTGGTCGGCCACCGGCGCCCACTCCATTCCTCTCCCTCTTCGGTCGCCTCCCGACGTTGTCTCTTCTCTCCATACGATTGCTTTATTTGGTTGAAGGTGGCACTTGTCGTTCTTCCCTCCTTCCAACCGTCGGCAACTTCCGCTTGCTTAGGGGATGTTGGGACTTGGCTGAAGTGCGAGGCCCTATAGGGGCCGGGGTTTCGGCCAGGGACTAATTTCAACCTGTTCTTTCTTTCGGGGTCGGGACCGGGTGAACCTGCAAGCGAACAGGGATGGGAGTTTTTGTCCAACACGAACCGACCCAACCCCGTTGCCATGTTGGATCCATCTCACCACATCAATGGAACCATGTTGATGAACCATTTTTAAAGTTGCGGGATCAGTAATTAATTGCTTTATAGTTAAAAGGACAAAAATTAGATCAACGCAATAGTTGAAGGGCTAAATTTGGACTTTAATTGTAGGATAACCACCATTTATATACCCATTGTCATTATGATATAGTATTTATTCTCGTCTCGAAGCATCATCTTAACGAGATAAATGGTATATTTGACTTGAGTCTAATGTATACACATTTTTCGACCACTAAAATAGGCTTATTGCAAATTACATTTTGAATATACACAAGAAGCATGCTAAGTCAAATTACACCTTTTTCTCACTTTGAGTCAAAGGGCCAACCAAAGAACTACAACATATTTGACACGTACTTGGGTTTATATCTTACATTGGTGGGTCTACTCTCACAATGGTTCAACTGATGCACATGTATATCAACTGTGAGTTCAATTCATCCTTCTTGGGTCAAGGGTGAAAAATAGATATACATACGAGTGGTAAAGGCTATTATTTTATGACTTGTACAATGGTATTGTAGTAGCGGCAAAGTCGTGTAGTGTGGGGTTGTTAGCTTGTGAAGACATTTATTGCATCTTGGAAAACATTGAAACAAAACATTTATCACTAAGCATTCCAAGTGGTATGGAAAAATTTAATTACTTGCCACTTTTGCAATTGTTCCTATATGTTTGCTTCTAATGAGAATAGTTCTTAACCTTGTGCCACTTTTCCCACTATGGGTATTCCAACATGGAAGATTGACATTAAAAGTTCATTTTGCTCCAGCCCCTTCCCCCAAGGTCTGGTACCCGTGGAAGTCACTGCCGCAACCACCAGATGCTATGGAGCTGTCGCTGGGGACCCTATGTGAGCCATGGTTCTTTGCGACGACAGTGAAGGTGGCGGGAGCTCAGTAGAACCATTGATGATGTTGGGGCCGATGGTGGACTTGGAGGGTCAATTGGATAGAGAAGGGCATGTGGCGAAAGCTTCCACCAAGAAGGTCGATGGGGATCATCGTCCTTGCCAGGGACGTCAGCAACAGATGGTGAGAGGGCCTTGAAGAAGAGTAGACTAGTTGTGGCGGCGGGAGGCAACAACCCTCCTTCTCTTCCTCTTCTTTCGCCTCCTTTGCTTCCACAACTCGTAGCATGGTTTCACGTGGGAGGATACTGTTGCTAGCCATTGAGTTCTTAGGCACGACTATCTTTTGTAATTCGATTTGTTGCCGTGTGGCGAGGGGCTATGATAGTGGGCAGTGGTTGTGGGGTGTTGCATCAAAAGGAAGGAGGAGGCCGCGCGTGCTTGCCCGATGTTACGGGGGTTGCGAGGTGGCATAGGTGGATGGTGAGGTGCATAGCGACCAATAAGCAAATGGATAACATGGTGGCTCACCCGAGATAGAGTTCATCGACAAGGACTTACATCAACAGCATAGTGGTGAGCTCCTCTACATCCAACTACAAGCATCTAATTTCATGAGGGTGGAGTTTGTCGACGAGGACTACATCAACGGCCACGGTGGTCAGCTCCGCTACATGCAAATGCAGATCTAAGGCCAAGGACAGCCATGGACATCCTTAATCGTTTCTTCCTTTTGATCGGGGCAAAATTGGGATCTCACATCAACAATCCATATGATGCCAATGTGTTACACATAGTGGCATAGTATTTAGAAATCTTCTCTCCAACGGCAAACACAGGACGACG